ACCTGCCTCCTCCCCTGTAATGTTCAGGGCACATAGATGAAGAGAACATTTTTTTTGTATTTTGATGCATAAAAGTTAAATTACCAGTAATTGGCATCCACATAATCACAAAGCAAGAATGTAAAGCTTTAGCTAAAATGGTTAAAAAAGTAAAGTAAGAGAGTTTTGCAGACCATGTCTGATTTTTTATCGTAGCTCTGGATATTTATTTAAGTTACAAAGACACTATCAGTCTCATTCACTCTCACTTTCCACTGAGCTTGTGGAAAGATGATAACATCATTATTTCTTTAAATGAAGAAAGGAAAGCCTGCCCTCTTACCACTGATAGTTCTGTTGGGCATCATCAGTTCAAGATGATTGTTCCAGGTAGGCTAACCTTAAAAATTAGTTGTAAAAATTTCTTGAACCTGTCATTGTACATCTTGAATGTTTGACTCAATTTTTCCTCACCAACCTAAACTGAATAAATAGAAACATTAAGTTTATTTTTTCTCCTTTTGAGGTGTGCATCAAAATTTCGAAGTCATCACAGGCTTAAACTATAGGTTTACAGGAAATCTGCATGTGCGTGTGTTTTCAACATATGAAACTGGTATTATGACTACTTCAAAAGACTTTACTACATGCCATATAGGTACAGGCAGGTGTTGTAAAAAAAGTTTGCTTAGCTTTTTCATTAGTACCCTTTTCTTTTTCTAAGAACCTTGTTTATCCAGCCTGTGCTGAATTCCAATTTTTCAACCAAATTTTATTATTTTTTTAATATTATTAAATCTCCTAGTATCAGTTAATATTCTTGTAATTAAAATAATTACATCAAATCTTGCAGATGTATGGCAGATTATTTTTTCTCTGAACCTCCTAATATTTTACCATTTGAAGGGACTGGTATTGGCTATAAAAGTATAGTCAAATTAAAGGTTTTTGCACAACCTATGCATCAAGTTTTTGTTATAAAGATTTGTATCCTTCTCAAAACTAGTTTATCAGAATAAGAATGAGTTACCGGGAACAAGTATGGCTTTCATGATGATAGTTTCCAGATTTGAAAAAAAGTCACTGCCTACTAAAATCCTCAGTTCCTTTGCCTTGCTAGCCCAACCTCATCAAAACATTGCCAACAGGAGTGATTAGCAAATTATTGATACAGACAAGAGGGCCTATTCCCACATACATCCTCCTCAATCCTGTTAGCTCACTATGGTCATGGCATTTCAAACATGGTGTATATGCCACAAGTTTTCCATTTCCCTGACTAATTACTTTGTTATAGTGTTTATATGTTGAGGAAATGGTTGGGTTGAAATATAATACAAAGACTTGCCAGTAGATAGTTTTATTACAGTTTTTATTCTGTGTAACGTAGGACTGGAAACTAAACTAATAAGAGCTCCGCTTTTAGGCTTGGCTAAATCTATATATTATCGCATGAAAGCCATCGAGTGATGAATACGAGTATGGGGAGGATACAAATGAGGTTCCATAGCATGTTTATACACATCTTCTATCATAAGGGAAGGAACCCAGTCGTGAGGTATTCTATGCACGTCATCGTCTTCGTACACGAGTACCTTAATGCGTACACATACCCACGATACGAATCGGTAATGAGCGTAACAATATAGACGACGCCACCAAGAACCCATGATTGAACAAAATGAGAACATGATTTCAATTTACTCACATTTTATTTATCCGCATAATAACACTCCGGACACATGACCTAGTTTTCTAAACATTCCAGTTCACTACTAGTTAGGCCTAATCGTGGAGCTAACTTCCTAAACAACGATAATCCAATCCTCTACGCAATATGTACATGCTCTTCTTCAGAAAGCTCACCTATTAAAAAATAAAAAAAATTTACAAAATTCATTTTTGAAATAAAATCGTGAAAAATTCTTCCTCTTTTTTTAGGATCTTCTTTGGCTAATTCCTGAGCTAATAAGAACAGTTCTTCATCTGTGGGTATGCCTTCCTTAAATCTACGCTTTGAAAAAAGCGAATTATACCATTTTACTTAAAATCGATATAAATGTTGGAAAATCTCTTGGATCTCCTTGTTCTAAGGCATCGAGTTCATGAGGTTTAAAACCTATAAGTTCTTAGGCGTAATTTCGCCATTTACCGTCCGAAAATGTTTCAACCCATGCATCTACTCCTTCTTATTCTACAGTTTAAAATAAGGGCAGTGTAAGATGACGTCGTCTATCTACAACAAAAAATGTCATTCCATGTCAGCACACAGAATTTGCTATGTTTTCCTGGAGGGTTTGTAACGCCACCGATGGAATAGATTACAATTCTTCTGACGACATTTCAAATACATCTTTTGATAATTCATGTCTGACTTGTGATGCCACTGGGTATCATTCACCGCTATGTAAGGCAATTGGAGAACCAACAGCTCTTTGTAGTTGTACGACAGTTTACCATCAACCAACTGAAATAGAAACGAAGTTCAAGTAAGTATAACAACGTTCAATGGCTTTTAAAACATGTACCTTGATTTACATAACTTACCTCCGGCACCGAAGATGATGACGAAAAAGAGATTTCAAGCAGAGTTCCTGAAGGCTTAGCTGTGCGGAATCTCATTGAAACACTCCACAGAAGATTGACCTTTGAGTTGGCAGGCACCCTCTTAAAACTCTGTCTTGAGAAACAAGGAAGTTTATATGAATGGTTTCCATATAAGAACCCGTGATAAGAAATTGACGTTCTCCTTAGTTGGGTATTTTAGGGTAATGCGACTCCCAAAAAATCAACGCTGACGGGAGGCCTGGATAATTTCTCTCCAATTTAACCCTTAAACTCCCATGAGTGACCAAGACAGTATTTCTCCATACAATATATATATGTTATTTGCCGGCTGGGAGGTCCGTATGGTGAAAAACTGTGACCGAGGTCACAGTTTTTCACCATACGAACCGACCCTTAGCCGGCAAATAACATATCTATTTTTTTGAAACTTGACGAAATTCTTTCCGGAAGAACCCGAATGATTTAGGGCTGTAAATACGACAAGATCTTCCATAAACTGAACAGTTTTTGAGCGAGTAAATGGTAGTTAAAATAGAGGTGATGCAAATTCAAGAGAGATGCCTCAGCGAAACATTTTCATTTCCGTAACGATAGTTTAAAAGGCTTCCAAACAAACTTTGAAACATTATTTTTACAAGTATCTGTCATAATCTGACACCTGTCAATTAGAGAGCGCGTAAGTAAAAAAAAGCGTAAGAACATTTGAAAAACAACGGAACTAGTTTGGCGAGGACTGTCACGACAATGTTTTCTTCAAAAACAGTCAATGATCTAACGGAAAGTATTTTTCACTCTCATCGACGATTCATTCATGTACGAAGATTTACCTCTGTTCATTAAGTAAACGTCGAGGAAAGTAATTGTGAGTCAATTCAATTTTTTTATTTTGAAGTTGTGAGAGTTTGCTCGTTTGTTTGCTGCAATGACGTGTGTAAATCTGGTCTTTCCTTGACAAAAACTAAATTCGAATGGCATACTCCAACGAGACACAAAAGGATTTAATGCGGCCTTTTCTCAAAAAATTCCTTCAGTTTCTGTTGTGCAATTTACGGTACAAATGTTCAAAATGAACGGACTTGGAAAGACTCTCCGAGAGCGTTTATTTGTTGTAGAACTTAAATTAAAACTTCGCTCGCTCTTTAACTGCGAACAAATTCCTTAAGAAAATTCAGGTATTAAATGAATGAAAGTTCCATCGTTCAGTTTAACTGTAACCAAATACCTCACGTTTTAACTTTCTAGGTACTATTTGTGAACGATTAAAATTAATTGCAGACGGGTTTTAGGCCGCTTGCCAACCAACGTAACGACGCTATTGTTTATACAAATTCATTCTGAAACCAATATTTTTCTGTCAACTAAAGTGATTTGAGTGAGAGAAAAGAGAGGATTCATAAGTTATTCATCGGCTTGAGGTAGTGACCGACGTGTTTGCCTAAAAACACTGCCCAGCCGGAAAAACAAGATTTATTTATGAAAAATGGCAACGAAAGTTGGGATGTACTCGGCGACTCACGAAAGCGTTACCGTGGCCCGTGGGCAGAGATAGGAAAATACTGACCGGGTTAGGAACCAATCAGATTGCAAGATTCGTTACCGTGCCCTCTCAAAAAAAAAAAAATACAATATCAACCAGGTAAGTGATGAGAATACAGAAAAACATCAATTTGGGGATAATTAGTTGATCCAATATTAAATTCTCTGAACTAACATTGTAAGAATTGTATGGCTGACAGTAAGGAGAATTACAAATTTGATCGGGGAGTTCAAGGGTTTAGGAAATTAATTAATCCGAGTTACATCAACCCTTTACCTGCCATAAATGACCAAGACATAATTTCTCCTTACAATATCAAAACAATATCGAGCAGACAAGTGACGAGAATAAAGAAAAATATCAATTAGAGAATTATTAATTGATCCAAAAATAAATTCTCAGAACTAACATAATAAGAATTGTATGACAGACAGTAAGGAGAATTAACAATATCTTGGCAGTGAAAGGGTTAAGAAACAGAAATTGCTGACACAACAGAAGACAGTATTTGAGGAACTCGGCCCTTAACGTTAAGGAAGGGAATCTTTCAACTCTGAGGATTGTTTGCAGGGTTTTTGAAATCGGCAGATCTTCGTCAGATGTACAGTGAAACTGATTTTTCGCTCTTTTCTCAGAATTGTCGGGTCAAAATCTGGTATGGATCGATAATTCAAGGCGAAAATACTGGTGATTAAGTACGTGCATTTATTAATTGAAGATCCACTAAATCAAATAAACTCGACGATATATTTCTTAGAACAAGAACCGCATACATATAAATGCTCATAAGGTGTCCTTTATCATGCACAACTCATGAACTGTTGTCTGCATCTTAGATAGCAAGCATTTGAAAAGATTCCAAAAGATTCCGTACTCTTCCCAACGCTTCAAACTAAAGCAAGTGCGAGAGGAAAGATCACTTACATATCCGTAAAAAAAATTCAATACCTGTTTCACAGCGACTTCCATCAAACCCAGTTGGGCAGTCACACCGGCGAGAACCAAGTATGTTAAAACACGTGCCTCGCCCGCAAGGTTTATATGCGCACGTGTTGCCCATTGCTTTACATTTAGCACTGATCCCGTTGTTGTACAATCGCTGACTGAGGTCCAAGAACTCGTGATTGATGTAAACATTTCTGATGCAGCCAGTAAAATGTTTGTAGAGGACTGGGAATTTAACTGGTAGCTGCACGAGCCCACCGAGAAGAAGAGGGCCTGTCAGATCCAAGGAGCTAAAAAAAAAGAAACCAGAAAAAAAATCACAATGTTGCTATTTGCAGTTCGCTTTTTATTCCAAACACGAAAAGTCACTAGAATAATTGTTGTATAAAGTCTCCTTGTTAGTAACTTAAGAAATGTACAGAACAGTAAAGAGAATATGGGTACTGATGTTTGGGTGAAAAGGGTTAACATAAAATTACCTTTTAGAAGGAGCTACATGAAGGGTGGTACACCAATACATTTAAACTCACAAAAAGCCTCATGAAAATTGAAATTCTATCCTCCGACACAAGGCAGAAGTATGCACCTGGATTGGAACATACTGCTCTTAACATAGTATATGTGACTAACTTGTTTGATTTCAAGTCACATCCCATATTAATAATCTATTCAATGCACAAGAAAATTGAAATACTCCTGCACCAAGGCTTCACAAACGGTCTTTAGAGGGTAGAGCTACCATAAAGAGTAAAATAAACAGAATCTTGTGAAATCACTTAAGAATAGGTCTCCTCGAATTAAACACTCAAGTTGTATCACCAAAATCAACACTGCACAGTTTGACACACGATCAGAACGCTTCCAACCACCACAGTGGGCAGCATTACAAGCTGTACAACTAAAAGATTGTTCAACAACTTTCATTTACTCCTCATGGGGACGCAAAATTTTTTCTTTGTCCCACGCCCGGGACAAGACGAAAAACATCTTTTTCCATTTGTTTACCGAGCTCAAAAACTTACCATCTTTCTTATTCTATTCAAAAACATTATCGACATCGCTGCTACTGGCAGTATGCAAGAATGCGTGTCATATATGAACTTGGTAATGAGCCTTGCTCACCATAGAGTCTCTGTGGCTCAGTGGTAGAGCGTCGGAGCGCAGAATCCGAAGGTCTGGGTACTAATAATTTTTTGCTATGTCCCACGCTCGTGGCAAGACGAAAAACATCTTTCTCAAATTTTATTTATATCGTCACAGTTGTCTGATCTCAGGAAGGGAGCCTTTACGAATTGGCGAACTCTGATGAATCCTTCGCTTTTCTTTTCTTTGTTTCTTGTTATTTAGGGAAAACTTAGAGTGATAAAATCTAGAGGGAACATTTATTTACCACTCTTTTTTCCACTCCAGGATTCAATTTTGTTAAAAAAAAGAAAACAAACAAACAAACAAACAAAAAACCCATGCCGCGGAAAAATGAAGAAGACAAAAATAGCCTGAAATAGCTTCAGGAATAGAAGATAAAACTGCTAATAACTACGATCACCTGAAGAAAGATGTTCTCGAGCGTGGCATAAAGAAAATGATCCAGGTTCCACGAGGAATCGAACCTCAGACCTTCGGATTTCGTGTTACGATGCTCTACAACTGAGCCACAGAGACTCTATGATGAGCCAGTCCAATACTAGTTCATATGTGACACGCGTCCGCCACACTGCTTGATAAGCGATGTCAAAAGCCTTCTCTGAGTTAATGAAATCAGAAAGATGGTGAATCTTTCTCATTTCTTTCGATCAGGGTGTGTCAGTCAGCCTTCTAGAGGGTCTCAATAACTTTTCCGTAAGCGGCTGCCGATGGTTTACTAGGCGGCTGTGCCGTAAGGTCAAACCCAAACACAAGAGCATGCTCGAGGACTAAACAGCGATGAGAGGTTTTATGGAGGCTGTAGATGGCTTTAATCTAAACCCCTGCCTCTACTTAAAGACCACCTTGGAGGCAAAAGAGGCCGTTGCAGAGAGGTGGCCGGGTTTATGAGTAACATGGCTAAAAACACTCAAGAAACACATCAGTTTGGCCTTTACGTAGACCTTTCAAAAAGCTGACTTCTGTACGAGAGACTGACATTTATAGATGCACTTAGTTAAATTAATGTAAGACTTAAGTTAGGAGCTAGGGTTCTCTCTCCATCGTGCTGTCTTGTTTAAAAGTTAACGCGTTGACTATCAGAGGTGACGAGAATAATAAAACTTATCAGGTAAAAGCTTAGATTTGGGAGTTTAATGGTTACTAAATCTTCACCTGAGTGATTTATCATCGTCATCGTCATCATTAAGCTCTTCCATGACATGAATAGGAATAGGATTCTTCGGTTTCTTGAGGGCTGACTTCAGAGGCTTCTTTTTCAAGCTGTTGTCCACAGATGGAGTCGTATCGGAGGTGGCAGCCGAACCTGACACCCCCTTTGTCCTGTATAATCTCGGGGACGGCTTTGAAGGAAGGACTGTATTTTTCTAACTATTTTTCTAACCTTTTCGACGTTTCTTCCTTGGAGTTATCTTTTGGCCATCCATTTTCACTCGGAACTACGAGAGAAAGTTAAAAGTTGGAAACTCGCAGAAAAGGTTGCTGTGATTTGCCGAGGTAAATATACAAGTAAGAAAGTAATGTAATTTGGAAAACATAGATTTTGTTCAGTAACAGTGTTAATACAAATCATTGGCTTCTTCAAATGCTCTGTCACTCACTCTTTGTCACTTGCCCAATTGCGGCAGATTGCTGAGGGGAAATTTTATTTCAAGTGGGTTTTAGAGTCTTTAATTGACCGTAGAAAAGTAGAGTCTTTAATTGACTGTAGAAAAACCATCACCAAAGTAATCACAACGGCCAATCAAAACGAAGATTTATATCGTCATTAGCCTATGAGCACTCACAGCAGGCAAACTACCAAATGCGCGGGAAAGCGCGGGAAAGCGCGGGAAAGCGCGGGAAAGCGCGGGAAAGCGCGGGAAAGCGCGGGAAAGCGCGGGAAAGCGCGGGAAAGCGCGGGAAAGCACGGGAGACCAAGTCATGACTGGTTTTCGTTTGGCGTATGATTGGTTCAGAGCATGGCGCGAATTTTTTTTTTTAAAAGAACAATTATAGACCGAAGCAAAGCAAAACCAACCAAATCCAGATTAATTTCGACAATCAATTGGAAATTATTCTAACCTGTCCTATACGTAAACATACTAACTCTAACTGAGCCAAAATAAAGTGACAAAAATATTTACGACAGATGCAGCAGCTTAGGGGAGCATAATGGCGGTCACGTTTTGCTGTAGCTCCAAGGTTCAAAGAGGTTTTCTACTTTTAGGCTTGGTTTTAACACATCTAAATGTCATCCATAATGCAGCTAAGTATCCTCTTCATCAGTACACTACCTTGATTGTACCAGAAACACTAAGTACTGCAATTGAGGGCGTTATTTGTCTTCGGACTCCTGCCGGCGACAACAACTTCAAGCCCGCGACTTCTGGCGGTTTTTGTAAACGCAAGGGTTCCTGGAGTTCATGCAGAGTTTTGTACTATGCAAACTCTGTGGCTACTACACAGATACTTTTACTTTCTGGTGATGTAGAGTTAAATCCGGGATGGCGAGGCATATCTACGGAAGGTGAAGATTATTTACTCAACTTTGCGAGTGAAATCAACCGTGGCTCAAATAATTTCAGTATAGCACAATTGAATGTTCGAAGCTTGAGGAATAAGATGGATGAAATCAAACTATTACTTAAAGTGTGTCGTTTCGACATTTTAGCAATTACCGAAACATTTTTAGACGCGAGAATATCGAACAAGCAACTACATGTGGATAACTATAAGATTGTTAGAAGGGACAGAAATACGGGACAGGATGGAGGTGGCTGCTTGATTTACATTGCGAGCCATATTTGTTATTCAAGGCTCAAATCCCTAGAGCCCCCTGATGTTGAATTAATCTGGATCAAAATTATGCATAATTCGTCTGCGTTGATATTAGGAAATTGTTATCGACCTCCTTCTGACTTCCAGTTCTACGAACGATTTTGTGACTGTCTGGAGAAAATGTGGCTTAGGCACAGGAATGTGGTGCTTGTCGGTGATTTTAACTCGGACTATTTTCGTAGCTACAAGGGTGTTACATCATACGCCGGTAGAAGATTACAAGATATACTCCAGCAATTCAGCTATAGCGTAATGAACGATAGGAGCCAGCCAACAAGAGTTACAAGTGAGACAAAAACACTGATTGACTTGGTTATTACCAGCAAGCCGGAGATTATCAAAGGAACTATTAAAACAACTGAGTTGGGAATCTCAGATCATAAGCTGGTTCTTGCTACAATATGGTCCAAAATAAAAAGGCCGCCTCCAAAGATAGTCAGGGCCCGCACCTTCAAAAGATTTGATCAAGCTACTTTTGTGAAGGATATCGAGAGTGCCCCGTGGTCAGTATGTTCAGTGTTTAACGATCCAGACGATTGCTATTGGGCGTGGTTACGCATATTCAAAGATATCTGTCAGGTGCATGCGCCTTACAGGGAAGTTAAAATTAGGAGCGTCTCGGTACCTTGGATAACACCGCAAATACGGCACTTGATGAATAAACGTTTCAAAATGCTTAAAATGGCACAACGTCTGGGTGATCCAGACCTGTGGGCTGAGTATTCGGAGTTGCGGAATAGAGTGACACGGGAAGTGAGGCTTTCTAAGAGCAGATACTATTTGGAACTGTTCAATGAAGTGAAGGATTGTAAATCCTACTGGAGACTAGTAAAAAATGAGACAAACGGCAAATCGATTACCCCGATATTAGGGATCAGGAATGCGGATGGAAAAGTTGTCACCTCCGATCTGGACAAAGCGAACATACTTAATGAACATTTCTCAACTATAGGCGAAAAACTGGCCAACGAATTGCCGAATACCAACTCGACACAAAGTAACGTTCATGTATCTACCGTCGCCCCTTGTGTTATGAACATAAATTTATCGCAGGAGGTTATTGTTAGTTCGATGGCTAAGTTGAGAGCCGATAAAGCCTCTGGGCCCGACAGAGTTGCTCCAAAACTTTTAAAGTTTGCCGGTGACTCAATTATTCCATCTTTATTGTCTGTTTTTCAAATAAGCGCCACCTGCAACAGTGTACCAGCTACTTGGAAGGCTGCAAACATCTCAGCTCTCTATAAAAGTGACGATGAAACCGTTAAGCAAAATTACAGGCCTATCTCGCTATTAAGTGTACCAGGAAAACTGATGGAGTCTATGGTGGCGTCAACTATTACCACGCATGTCACTGAACAAGGACTTGGGAACCCTCACCAGTGGGCGTATAAAAAAGGTCATTCCACCGAGCTGTTGTTAGTGAAAATAACGGATGACTGGAGACAAGCGATCGACAAGAAACATGTTGTAGGCGTGGTTTTTGTAGACTTTCGTAAGGCGTTTGACGCAATTCCCCACTCCATTCTGCTCCGAAAACTTCAAAGTCTTGGTGTAGCTGGGGACTTGTGGTGTTGGATAAGAGATTACCTCTCTGGAAGAACGCAAGTAACGACGATTAATGGGTGTCAATCTCAAGCTATGCCAGTTACTTTTGGTGTACCTCAAGGGTCGGTGCTGGGCCCTACCCTGTTTTCCATCTTCTGTAATGATCTGCCCAATATCACTGAGGGAATAGATGGTGACCCACAGCTTCACATGTACGCAGACGATACCACCGTCTATGTCTCAGCTCCGACCTATGATCTGGTGGCCTCCAAGTTGAATGAAGTACTAGCAAGGCTATATACATGGTGTTGCGAGAACTGTCTCACTCCACATCCCACCAAGACGGAATATATATTGCTTGGTGGACGCGGAAAATTTACTGGGCCAAAACAAGCTATTAAGATAGGTGATTATGTTGTCGGGGAGGTTGTTTCTGCAAGATGCCTAGGTGTTCAGATAGATAATGCTCTTAAATGGGATCATCATGTATCGGAATTAGCTAAGTCATATACGCAGAAGTTGAATTTACTTAAATCCTTGTATTTCCTTCCTATACAGGCAAGAATTGATTTCTATTTTAAGGTTATTCTGCCGTCTGTGACATATGGTATGTTAGTTTGGGGCTCTTGTGGTCGAGTATTTTTCTCAAGCTTAGAATCTATACATGTTAGAGCGGCGAAAATAATATTTAACTTGGATTGGTGTACTCCAAGCAAGGAGGTTCTTGCCACAGTAGAATGGAATACCTTAGAGATTATGTATGAGAAACGATTACTAATCTTAGCGCATCAGGCTTATTATAATCTTTTGCCACGTCCTATGAGCCGTCACTTTGAAAAGTATGTAAGTAGCTACGACTTCAGGAGGAAAATGACATTTAAGTTACCTAGACCTAAGACCGATATGGTCAAGAAATCATGCTCATACAAGTCAATTACTCGGTGGAACGCTCTGGAAAATCAAATGAGATCAATTTAAGACGTTGACGCTTTTAAAAAGTCACTCAAGTGTATTTTTAAGCCACGTATGTTATAATGATGTACTATGTAGAATTTTTATTGTTGAAAATATGTAGAAATCTTACACTAGTCTTCTTATAATTAGTTAGGAATTTAGTTTTATTGGATTTAGTTAGGAATTTAGTTTTATTGTCCGTACACGACCACATCAGCTTTTGCTGAATTTTTTATCGTGTTTAAATAAATGCTGTTGTTGTTGTTGTTGTTATCTCTACAGAACCATACAATTTGTACCTTGGTCATCTTCAGAGTCGGAGGAATCAGATGGAAGACCAGGCGATGAAGGCCGCTCGTCTTCCTCTTCGGAAGATGATTCTTGTTGGGTGGTGCTCACCTCTGGAAAAAAATATTAAAAAAGGCGATCAATGGAAATATATACTTAAGTAAATATGGCGGACGGACAGGGGAGTAACCTGCTTCATTCAATTTTCTTCATTACTCCCGCGAAAAGAATCGTTCAATATGGACAGAAACATTGAGTTAGGTGCAATTTGTAACATAGATAATGTAATTAACGCCATCAATTATAATTAAAATATAAAAGTTAATTGTTTACGATGAAGATAAAAAAATCTTCGCCTACGAGAGAAGCTGCCTTATCTTAAATTCAAAACACAAAAGTGACAGGTAGGGGAATATCATTTGATCTTATGACAACTTCTCCGAACTAACACCAAAAGAATTATATAGCAGACAGTAATGATACCTGACTTATCGGTCTGTTCCCATATTTTCCTGGCTCGCTCTACAGATTTAAGGAAAACAAAAACAGGATTTGTCAGTCCCTGTAAAAGTTAGACGCTTCATCACACTTACGCGCTTATTTCGCTCATTTCTGTTCACCAAACCTCTGTCCACTTGTCTAATAAGAGTTTAGAAACTCCAAGCGGGCTCGAAACCACATTTAGTTCGTGTAATTTTCCCCAACTGTTTCGCTCGGGAGAAAAAAGCGTGAACCTTTTAAGCAACGTCAGAGGTTCGAATCCTCCTCAAGTCAGAGTAAGAGAAATTGCTTAAATTTGAACGAAGATATCTTTTCACCGAACCTAATTGGAGTGGGTCCTGGACACTCAAAAATTTCATATGCAGTATTTATGTTCTCTCGCCCGATAGCCTCGTTTCCGTGCATTTTCACGCAGATACCGCTATACCACAAGAATGACGTCCAGAACTGTAATAACAGCCATTAACAACTATTCACCGAAGGGGAAGTGCCTAGTGGTGGATATACGGCAACGCTAATATCCACCTCATACCACCCACACTGAGGAGAATAGTTGCTCAAATATATAACAAAACAGTGAAATACTGTAGCACTAAAGGTCATATTAACTAATTTCTTCCTGCAACGACTATCATCCTTTTGGGCGCAAATCGCGCGCGCGTTGCTCGGACGTGATTAGCAAGGGATATTTGGAGTTTGAGTAGCCAATCAGATCGCGCCTATAATGCTACCCACTGTTGCAGTATATATACTCACAAGATTGTTAGCCTTTAACTGAATGTACCAAAGATGAGTTACAGATGTTTCGTTGCACAATAATATTGTTTGACGAAGTAATATAACCCCTTATTTTCCTCTTCGTTTCGTGACCATCAAAATATTGACTACAAAGGAGTTAAAACACAGAAATGTTTGAGTTTACGCCTTGTAGACATCTTACCGAGTTCAGGATTATCAGGGTACTTGGCCTTTGGCGATTTTCCATCTGAAATTAGAACAAACAAGCAAAAATTAGTTCCCAGAAATGAGGAATAACTCCATTATAACGTATTCTTTCGCTGAGCGAAATGAAAGACTTTGACGACACAAACAAACAAACAAACAAACATAATGTACAGTTTCTGCAAGCCATAAGTCATTCTTAAAATGGTTCAAAGGAATTGGCTCCTTGAAAAAAAGCAATTACAAATTTCACTATACAGCAATCCATGCCCAGCCCCTTCCGCCCTAAACCAGTTGACCTGGCTCCATGTATGATTGTGAGTTGAGATTGCTTCTGATGTCTTTACTTTCTAGGTGATTCTTCTTTTCTCCCTACCGAATTGAATTGCAATGGCACATTTCTCGTGGGACGACTCTAATTAAGGAAAACTTGGCTTCTTAGGGCACAAATCTGGTCTTCATTGAAGAAAAAAAAAAGGGGGGGATTTGGCAGGGGCACTTTTCTTCGGCCTCTAGGGTATAAAAGCCGATTAGAAATCACTGTAATTTATTTAAAACCACGTTCTCATTACTTGGACTGAGCAGAATGTATGGAGCATATCGGGGAGAAATAACATCTCAAACACACACCTGGTGCACTGGTATCTTCATCTCCTATAGTATTTCCGTTTTTCCGAAGTGGCGCCTTAGTGGTGGGCGCTTATTCGGGGGAGGGCGCTTCTTAGAGCGTGGATGCGTGTTCAAATAAATCTTGTATACCTAAAGGGGGAGAGGTTGGGTCGGATGAAAGAATAGCTAAAAACTGAGATGGGGTGAAAATATGGCAGACCATGAATTGATCTTTTGAAAAGAAGGTCAAACAGCGGAGAAGAGCAAGTGAAAAACAGAACATGCTTTGTACAGAATGTCTCATTTAAGAAAAGGGGGCACAAAGACGTAAAGAGGGTGAATATTCCTCTTACAAAATGCTGGGTGGGTTTCTGTATCCCATATGTCTTGTCTTTAGTCTTCCAGCGCATGTACACATTCTTGAACTCTTTCCGAACCTGAAGGTTTTTTAAATAATGCAAGATTGTGAAAGTGAATCTAATATTCTGTGTCCATTAAATCAAATTGAAATCGTGAAAAATAAGAAAGATAGATATGTCACTCACCGTCTTGTCCAATAGGAGATAAAACACTAGTATAAACAGGCCCTATGAACGAAACAAGCTCATCAAAAATTTGTCGCTGATCGATCGACATTCATCGACCGGAGAACTACAACGGCGCAAATTCAAGGTATTCAGCATTTATTAATTTAGAGACGAGTTCTCACATCTCTTGAGAGTTGAAAATGAAAATGAAAAGGAAACATGCATTTTGCTTCTTGTCGATTATATGTGTTCAGGTACCGAACTAAATATTTGTCTCTACGCTTCCTTAGTCTGTTTTTTTTAAAGCTTTCAACCCACTTTTTGAGAAGCGATCAATTTTACAATAAGAGAGAAATAGGAGTAAAATTTCGATCATGCTCTGATGGCATAGAAGCAATGCAATCCTGGTTTTAGTAGCAAAAACAACTGGATGAGAGAAATCCTCCGTTGCCTTTCCATATTAAATTAAAAACTACTCTACGAAGAACAGGGCTCTAACCTGGCTGAAAGTGAAGGCAGCAAAGACATAGTGAAAGGTTTCCAAATCTTCATTCACCATCAAAATGGCGAACGCGAAAGATACTCCTATCAGGGGAAGAAGACCGGCTGTGGCTCGTAATCCGGCACTGTGACGAAAAAAAACCGAGATGAATAAATAAAACATTTGAAAAATGAATAAAGAATTATCTAGTTTAAATCATAACGAACCAGTCTTTATTTATCGACGGGGGGGGGGGGGGAGGGGGAGGGGGGTCCAGAGAGGGAAGGGGCGGGGAGGGGGATCACGTGGTCTCAAAGGGAAACAGAGGGGGAATCAGTCGTCTCTAACAGAGTTTAAAGGTGGACTATGGAAAATTGACTTCCAATGGAGGGGGGGGGGGGGGCAGGGAAAGGGAAAGGGGGATCATTGGAATACTCCACAACCTCATGGGAGGGATTCGGTAAATTTCACTTTATCATTTTATCATTTTAAGGTATTGTAACATTTCTCAGTAACTGAGCAGTTGGAGATTGGTCAGTTGAGGGAAGCGGTTTTGAATACATGGTCTGCATAAATATAATGTCTTCCGTTATCTATGGCGTGGTAGTTAACTATTCACCTCAGTGGAGGAAGCTAGCAGTTGATATTTAATCTCGCCGCTTCACGGTTCGGTAAATATCCACCACGAGCCACCTCTACTTCGGTGAAAAGTTGTTCAATAGTCTTTTACGCTTAAGCCTGGTTTTCCCCAGCGACGCAAACACAAGCGCAAGCACAAACGCGAGCATCAGGTAATTATGCCAATTTAAAACGAACGTCGAAGAGCACATAGAGTAGCACAAGAAAAAGGACAAATTTTGATCCTTGCGCTTGATTCTTGCTTGCTTCTCTGAGCTGTTATGCTTGTGTTTGTGCTTGCATCGCTCGTAAAAACCAGGCTTTAGCAAGAGACGATTGGTACGCTCATGTAACAGTCAAAAGTGCTATCTTACGTCAAGTTAGATTGTTCGTCGTCATGGTGATGGTGGTGATGCCGGCGACGTCTCTTCCTTGATTGTTTTTGAAGTGAAGTGAACAATGCCATGATAAAGACGAGAGTGTTGAGCTAAGATGATAAAAAGAAAATCAATGAACAACACGACATACTAAATCAATCAATGTAAAGGTCTACAAATACTGCACCATTCCACAAATACAAAATTTGTGTGTTAATATGAACAATTTCAGACCATTATCTCTATGTAACTGTTTTTTTTGTTTGCCACAGCGACATGCATGTCAACTGCGCAAAAGAATACCATTGAGGAAAACACTATGTCACAAAACGAATTAAAAAATAAAACGGGCCCAACGTTCATCGACACAGTGTCTGCACCGAAACTACAGATGGAGAGGTGGATGGGAAAACAAGATGAGGAAGAACGGGTGAAAAGTGGACGGTTGACATTAACCCTACTCATTAATAAGACAATTCTAATGATGTTAGTTCGGAGAATTTGGTATTGGATCGAGTAATAATCCCTTAGTTGATATATTTTTTCTTTTTTTCTCATCACCGCCCTGCTTCATAGTGTGATGATGTTGTAAGGAGAACGGGAATGAGACCAGCTTCCTAGAGATGTCACGACATGTTATTTGGCATGTTTTCAGAAATATTTTTAATTCAATTGATAATCAGTTTACCACAAGAAATTTACCTCTTGATTTGCCATTAATATTGACATGTGTTGTCAGGAGTGGGATGATTCGTGAAGCTACTTACCGCGACAATGATGATGATCGGAATCGTAAACGTCCAGATAATTGTTCCATCTGTCGACATCCAGCGGCTGAAAAGTAATAAAAAAAAGGTGAAATGTCGCGAAATTGGTGGGAACTGTCACTATCTATTGCTTGGTCTGGGAATGTTAAAAGTACAAACAAACTGTTTACGGGAACTAGTAAAAAGTTCTACAGAGACCATACAAGGTTGACTTACAATCTCTGGTTTCCGTAGCCCTTGTTCGCTAAGCCAGCGGAAACCCCGACCACAATAGCAGGACATCCTATTATTTTATAAAAGGATTTCCATCCCTGAGAAAAGCCGTAACAACACGTGAAAAAATACGATATTTTTTCACGTGTGTTTGATATCGCCAATCAGCTGCTGACACGTCACACGCCTTTCGCGCCACTCGGTCAGTTTGATGAATGAACGGCAAAGCCTTCACCATTCTCAATCCAAGGTCGTTTGTCAGAATATTTTCGGATTATTTCTGCTTAAAAACCGAAATATTCGTATCGACGCTTACAGACAGTGACGTTCAAACTTTCCTAGAAAGGGAAGAAAACCAAAAAAAAACGAAAAGAAAAACCGAAAGTTACGTATTTAGTGGTTTTGGTAGTGGCATTTCTCGCGGCTGAAAACGAAAATCGACCACTGGAAGATTTGCCACAGGCCGATTTTGGCCGGGTACCTGAATGATTTCTTCTGTCGGTAAGGAGCAATTCAATAACTAAAAATTTTGTAAATGGAAAATTAGGCCCATTGTTTGTTTTTGTAGTGATTCAACGCATGTTTTCATCTTGAGTGCGCCAACGCACTTTACGATTTGTATTCGGGGATTGTCGATCCTTTTATTTTCATTCATTAATAGAGTCGACTTTTCTTGTCAGTAAAAGGCTATTGTGTTTATATGATAAACAAAATAATACATAGTTGCTTGTAGATATGAAATTTCTCTTCTCGTATTCAACTCAACATCTCACTCGTGAGCTATCGAGTTAAACACTCGAAGGGAAATTCCATATCTACGCGCGCCCATGTATTATTCTCCATTTATTTACTTATTTATTTTATTAATAACAACTTTGTTTGCATTAAAATGGTACCCACAAATTGCAAAGAAATGTGTCCGATAGGGAATAACTTTAAATGAAAAAAAATAAGATCAAAAATGAAAAAAAAAAAATTCCACTTACCAGTGTACTGTTGAGGACAAACACATCGGAATCCCTTTCCATGGTTTGTACTTTCACATTTGCCATGTCTGCATGGCTTAAGAGAACATACGCGCAGGCAGTGTTTACCAACGTAACCTACGGGACATATGCATTTGTAGGAGTCGAATTCCTCTTGGCACGTGCTGAAGTCTGGACAAGGGTTCGATGAGCAGTGGCTTCCCATTTTCTCTTCACAACCAGATGCTGTTTTGTGATTGACTCCAGAGTTCATGTTGATCTCAGTGCTCCCGACAAAAACCCCTACGGATATGGAAAGAAGGAGGTTAGTGTCTCCTCGTATAAACGGGTAACCGAGTTGGACCATTTCCGAAAGGCCCATAGCCTCTGTTTTAAAACGAGCCCAGATACGATACTTCTCATAGGAAAAGAAATTATTTTGCAAACGAAGCTATTTTCACGAAAAAGGGGTCGGAAATGGCCTAATATTCATACATCCACTATTACCATGCTCACTCCAAAAGCACAGTTCCAACGCTTACTACATAAACAAGCACGCACGAACACACATGCACGCGCTTGTACGCACCTGCTCGCACACGTACACGCACGTGCGCACGCACATACGCACTCACACTAACGCTCCAAACCTAACATTTAGTCTGTCTTGCCTTTCTGTGATGTTTCTTCATGTAAATTACTAACAAGTAATAACACGATTTATCTTGCAATTTGGTGTAATAAGCACTTGTAAATTTTTCAAAGACTACAAACTTCACTCGCCCTACAGCTCGTGCAATTTTGTGGTACTGAAAAATTTACTCGAGCGTATTAACACCAAATTGCACTCGAAATCATGTTATTACCTATACTCATAAACAACTATCTTTTCCTCCAAGCTTAGGGAAATCAGTGCATTGCTTCTAATTTAATACCTAGAACAGGCTACAGAAACATAAGCCTAAAAGTTTAACTAGAGGAATTTGCTTAGAAAAGCATACCTTGTATACAGCCTCTAAATCTACCATACACTGCAGACTTGGTAGAATTCTTCCTCGCTCCCATGAAAAACTGTCTGGCAACTCCAAGGTCTTTTCCACTGGATGCATCTGCAGAAACTTTGTAGATATAGTCCATTGTTATGTTAAGGGAAGAATCTGTCCAGAGGATCTCGATGTGATGCCACTGGGTATCATTCACGGCTATGTGAGGCAATTGGAGAACTAACAGCCCTTTGTAGTTGTACGACAGTTTACCATCAACCAACTGAAATAGCAATGAAGTTCACGTAAGTATAAGAATGTTCAATGACTTTTAAAACATGTACCTTGATTTACATAACTTACCTCTAATACCGAAGATGATGACGAAAAAGAGGTTTCAAGCAGAGTTCCTGAAGGCTTGGCTGTGCGGAATCTCATTGAAACACTCCACGGAAGATTCACCCTTGAGTTGGCAGGCACCCTCATAAAAGTCTGTCCTAAGAATCTCTTAGTGTATTTCACACCTGTTGAACAAGGAAGTTTGTATGAATGGTATCCATATAAAAACCCGTGATAAGAAATTGATGTTCTCCTTAGTTGGGGTATTTTAGGGTAACGCGACTCCCAGAAAATCAACGCTAACTGGAGGCCTGGATAATTTCTCCTCAATTTAACCCTTAAACTCCTATAAGTGACCAAGACAGTATTTCTCCTTACAATATTAATACGATATCGACCAGATAAGCGATGAAGATAAAGAAAAACATCAATTTGGGGATAATAAGTAGATCCAATGCTAAATTCTCTGAACTAACATTATAAGGATTGTAAGGTTGACAGTGAGGAGAATTACAAATTTGATCGGGGAGTCAAAGGGTTTAGGAAATTAATAACCCGAGTTACATCAACCTTTTACCTGCCATAAATGACCAAGATATAATTTCTCCTTACAATGTCAAAACAATATCGAGCAGACAAGTGATGAGAATAAAGAAAAATATCAATTAGAGAATTATCAATTGATCTAATGATAAATTCTCAAAACTAACATCATAAAAGTTGTATGACAGACAGTAAAGAGAATTAACAATTATATCTTGGCAGTGAAAGGGTTAAGAAACAGAAATTTCTGACACAACAGAAGACAGTATTTGAGGAACTCGGCCCTTATCGTTAAGGAAGGGAATCTTTCAACTCTGAGGATTGTTTGCAGGGTTTTTGAAATCGGCAGATCTTCGTCAGATGTACAGAAAAACTGATTTTTCGCTCTTTTCTCAGAATTGTCGGGTCAAAATCTGGTATGGATCGATAATTCAAGGCGAAAATACCGGTGATTAAGTACGTGCATTTATTAATTGAAGATCCACTAAATCAGATAAACTCGACGATATATTTCTCATAACAAGGAATCGCATACATTTAAATGCTCATAAGGTGTCCTTTATCATGCACAACTCATGAACTGTTGTCTGCATCTTAGATAGCAAGCATTTGAAAAGATTCCAAAAGATTCCGTACTCTTCCGAACGCTTCAAACTAAAGTAAGTGCGAGAGGAAAGATCACTTACAAATCCGTAAAAAAAAAAAAATTCAATACCTGTTTCACAGCGACTTCCATCAAACCCAGTGGGACAGTAACACCGGCGAGAACCAAGTATGTTAAAATACGTGCCTCGCTCGCAAGGTTTATATGCGCACGTGTTGCCCATTGCTTTACATTTAGCACTGGTTCCGTTGTTGTACAATGGCTGACTGAGGTCTAAGAACTTGTGATCGATGTAAACATTCCTGATGCAGCCAGTAAAATGTTTGTAGAGGACTGGGAATTCAACTGGTAGCTGCACAAGCCCACCGAGAAGAAGAGGGCCAGTCAGATCCAAGGAGCTAGAAAAGAAAAAAAAAAGATCACATTGTCGCTATTTGCAGTTCTCTTTTTATTCCCAACACGAAAACATTCCATACATGATTCTGAGAATTTAAAAAGTGATCAAAGTGCAGTGATCAGGAAGTTCTAGCCCTCAAGATTACAGTTGACCCTTTGACTCCCAGAAATGAGAGCTCCAATTGCAGTTTGACATAAGTAATCTGACAAAAAAAATCACTGCTTGGATCTTAAAAAATGTCAAAAACATCTTACAATAAAGGTCACCCACTATACCAAAATTATTGCATATATTAACCCGCTTATAAATAACTAAAGCTCTGATGATGATGATAATAATAATAATAATAATTAATAATATTAATAATAACACTATTATCAGTTCGTATGATATATTTCTCTACTCTCAATTCTCTTCTAAATTTAAGAAATAACTAATTCAAACAAATTGGAAAATAGTAAATAAAAATCAACACAGTTTTTAAAAACCCCAACAAATAAAAGGCAGACAAATTGGCTTTAAACAGAGCAAAGCCAACAAGTGGAACTCAGGGCAACTGAAAACAAATCCAGTAAGTAGCTGAGTGGAGAACTACAACCTGGGACCACTGGATTACAAGTCCAGCGCCCTAAGCACTTGGCCAGTCCCCTAAGCACCTGGCCAGCACCCTAAGCACCTGACCAGCACCCTAAGCACCTGACCAGCACCCTAAGCACCTGGCCAACACCCTAAGCACCTGGCCAACACCCTAAGCACCTGGCCAGCACCCTAAGCACTCAGCCACTCTGCCTCTCTGATGGTGTGCATTTACATAAAAATGTACCTGTAATTTTCAGATTCATCTTTAATTTGAAGTTGCTGTGCTGCGGCACATGGGAAGGAGGCAGCTTTGGTCCCAAAATTCACTGCCACTGCAAGTTTACAGCCATCAACAATGATAATGCCAGTCTGAAAAAAGAAAAAAATGATTTACTGGGTAAAAAACATCTGGAAAAAGGGTTACTAATCCTTGTATGAATTAAATTTTTTCAGTACAAAGCAGACTCACTCTGAGATCAGTAAAGTAAAACACAACATAACTTTGGATAATGGATTGTAACAGGGGGTTAAATCCTTCCAATATATGTACATAGCAGTTTACCCTCTAATTCCTAAGATGTGATTGTTAATTCTCTCCTCTTGCTGCTACACATTCCCTTTTAAATTACATGTAGTTACAAGGATTTGCTGTTAGATCAAGAAGACAACATTAACTGATAAGTCTGAGTATTCTTATTACCTGTTTGCAGAATTATGTATGAATACCATTGGGAGAAGTTACATGTTAATCACTTCTAATAGTTAAAGGGTTCATCTCATAAAAGCTACTTACTGAATTAAGAGCAAAAAGATGAGATATTTATTGAGTTATCCTTCAGGCATTTGAAATCAGATCATTTTTTTAGCCAATTTGTAGAATTATCTGACAATATATTCATTTACATTCTTTAACATATAGTCCACAATTGTTATTTCAACAAGATATTACATCTACAGTGATGCAGTTTTGGAATATGGCTCTCCCTTATCAGCCACAAATTATTTGGTTTCTATCGGCAATTGCCATGCCTACACTGGAAGAGAAATAATTCCAAAGTCTTTTTTTTTCCTTTTCTCTAAGTTAAAAATTCAGTATCAACAATATTCAAAAGGGATTAATGTATTTTAGTATTTTCTCAAAAGTTCAGACTTTTTGTTGTGTTATGCCCATTATTTTCCCATGACCTTTTCATTTTTTTAAACAATGCAAATTATACTTCAACTTGTAATTACTTTTGAAAGAATACAATGAATTACTTATAGGTCATACATTCTCATTGCACACCACTCAGCGCTATTCCAATGGAATACAAGGAACTTCAAATTCTCCCCAATATATATAGAGAATTTAACCTTATGTAGTCAATTTGTTCATTTGTATACACAGATTATCTTGGCACATGTGCATGTTCATGCATGTTTCAATGCTAAGTTTTTTCTCATAGCTGTGCCAGGTTGAAATTTTGAATTGCTTGTCACTGCAGGAGTTCTGTTTGTTTTTTTCTAGACTTAAAAAGCTTGTTGCTCTGAAGAAGCTGTGATACTTCCAAAACGATTTTTGGATTATTGATCTGAGAAGGAAATATTTATCTCCATTCCTTTATGTTTTGACTTTCTTTAAGTTCAGAGGTTATCAATGAAGGTAGTAGTTGTTTTCATATGAAAATTTCAAGTTTGTTTTTTTTTATGGATGATCAAGAGGAAAAACAGGCAAGAGTTGTTTTTCATGAAAACTTTCTTGAAGTCAAGAGTTTTACTCTAATTGAGATGCTCTATAAAATAGTCCAGTAATATCTATCAAAATATTAGCACAGAGAAGCAGATAATCCCAAAGTTGATCATATCTTTTGGGTGGTTTGTTTAATCACTGATGAAAAAACACATGTTTTAGATTTTTATCATGATTTGGCTTCCATGCAGCAAAATTTAACCCAGATTGAGTGTGTGATTTCATGAAATTGGTCCTTAAAAAAACAATTTTTAACTCCAAGAGATAAGGCTCTCTAATCAATTTAAATGATTGGAATTTGTACATTGTAAGGAATGTCAAATGAAAAGTATTGTGTAACATACACCACTCCAAAACTGCACTCTTCAAATCATTAAACAATTCCACAAAGAAAACAATTTTTGCCCATTTTTCTGATATTGAGGAACCTAACACATACTTGTGCAACCAGCAAATATCAGGGTAACATGAGTGGTCAGATATGTTTGAGAGGTGACCCTTGACACTTGAATCTTTACAACTGAAGTTGACATATTTACCCTCAAATTATACAGCCGCTGTTTACAGGTTATGGCCACCAAAAATAAAAAAGTTTAAGCAACAAAACCACAGGACACTCATAAACATATTGAAACCACCACGTGAATCTTGCTCTAGAAAAGCTCCAATCTGTAGTTTTACACTTCACCTGTAGGTTTCAGTTTGAAATAGTTTATGAATTTAGAGTAACATCTAGTTCAGAACTTTGCAAATTGTAAAATACCAGAAAAAAAATTAACAGACTGTAACACAAAATAAATTGAATTTCTCATTGCCTCCTTCACCCTTCAACTCCCAGAAGTAACTAACATGTAATAATGATATCCAAACCTTATCCATTACACACTCAGGTAATGAGAATACTCAAAGTTGTTATCTTGATCTGATACCACCAGATTCTCATAACTAATTTTAAAAAAATGTACAACAGCTAGAGGAGAGAACTGATACTCAGATCTTGGGAGTTTAAGGGTTAACTGAGCAGGAGACCCACATAGTATAGAAGGTTCGTGATTAAATAAATTGTAATTCACACCCATGAATTAAATGGTATTTACATTGGAAATATTTTTCCAAAAAAATTCTTACCCTGTTCTGAAATGCCACTTCTACTTTATGCCAATTGCCATCAATGACACCACCATTTACATTTGATGTAACAATGACTTCATGGGAAAACAGTGAAAACCTGAACCGAACTTGTCCTTGCCACACTTCCACTGCAATAAAGTCATGTTTTCCATCATATCGTCCATTGAAGAGCAAAAGCCCACTGTGCTTAGTGGTGGTAAACTCCATCTGTATGTGCAAACGCCATCTTTGTTTCAATGCTAGGAAAAAATAAAGTCATCATCATCATCATCATCCCAAAACAAACTACAAACAGTGCCATTGAGTAACAACCCTTTAACCCCTAAGAGTGACTACCATCTAATTTCTCATTACAATATCACCCCTAAATCACACATTTAAGTCACAAGAATAAAGGACAAGATCACCAGCTGAAGAAGCTCTTGATTGTTGTACATTAAGTCTCCTTGTCAGTAACTTAGGAAATGTACAGAGAACAGTACAGAGAATATGGGTACTGATGTTTGGCTGAAAAGGGTTAACATAAAATTACCTTTTAGAAGGAGCTACATGAAGGGTGGAACACTAATGCATTAAACCCTTAAACTCCCAAGAGTGACCAAGACAGAATTTCTCATTTCAATATCAATACAATGTCAAGAAGATAAGTGATAAGAATAAAGAGTAATATCAGTTGGGCAATTGTTAGTTGATTCAATACTGAATTCGCCAAACTAACATCATGAGAACTGTACAGCAGACAGTAAGGAGAATTACTTTAGAGATCTGGGAGTGAAAGGGTTAAACACATCAGGGCGTGAAATTGCGCCTAATACAGGCGCCAATGCGACTAAATTTTTCACTTTGGCGACCAAATCCTGAAAGTTAGTCGCCAAATTGGCGACTAGAACGTTTCAACATAACCTTACCAAGAGATATAGTGAATTAAAAAGACTTGCAAAGATAAATCCGCGGCAATCTTCCTCGTTAAGTTTGTTTCCAAAACGTAGCACAAGCATCTCGATCGATAACTAGACGCCATCTTGGATTTAGATGAGCCTGAACGTTGTATATCATCCATCCTAGTGTCCACTTTGCAGCACGTTAAAGAATCTTTTCCCTAACGTAATTTTGGAGGATCTATCTAAAACGCTGACAGCGTAAAGAAAGATTTTGTTTGTCTTTGAAAATGGCGACCAACTTTTTTGAATTGGCTACCACTTTGAAGAATTTAGGAGCCAAGTAGCTATCAGAAAAAAAAGTTAATTTCACGCCCTGCACATGAAAAAATCACATGAAATTAAAATTCTTTCCTCCAATACAAGGTGGAAGTGTACACCTGGATTGGAATGCACTGCCCCTAACATGGTATATGTGAATAATTTGTTTGATTACAAGCCATCTCCTATATTAATAATCTATTCGTTGCACAAGACCAGCACTTAACTTTAAACTTTGAGTAATTGTACAAAACCTCAACATTCAAAAATTCATTGTGTCTTAATTCTGTAAGTTTTTCTTCCATCCTCAATACAGTGCGAAATTCAATCAAATTCAGTAAAAAAGAGTGCAGTCATGCAGAAGTGGCAAGTTTTAAAAGGGGAGCTTACTAAAGTAAAGTAGAAGAGCTTATTCTAGGATTTATAGTACACATAACTACAAATAAATCCTTACCTGGAAAGGCAACAAATGATCCTTTTTCAAAACTGCGCATTGTCAGTTGGCACAGTGACCCATCAACTTCACTTGGATCTTTGCACTGACAGGTGAACCCACTTCCAAGAACATTTTTACAACCACCATCACTATGGCATGGATTTGCATTTAGATGATATTCTGTTGCTTTTGAGTCTATAGGACACTTGCTCTTTGACATGTCAATCTCACAGTTTACACCAGTTCTTCCTGGATTGCATATACAAGAGTAGCCTTCCTCTACACTCACACACTTCCCATTGTTTCCACAAGGATTGGAGTAGCACAAGTTTAAACCTGTGTCACAACTTTCTCCTCGATAGTCAGTAGCACAGGGGCATCTGTAATTAGTTTGCACTCCAACTGAGCGGAAGACCACCTTTAATGAGCTGTAGGTGTTGGATTTGTCAGTATAATCAGTGTATGACAAGCAGCTCTTTCTGGATGTTGGTAGGGGGAAGTTGCATATTTCTTCAACACATAAGCCATCTTTGAAAGGAAGGAGAGTGACTTTTGCCATTTTGGAAATCTGCACCATATTTATGTACACCATGTCTCTCACATACAAAGGACTATAAAAGTTAAAGTGATCATTTTTATAAACAGCCACCCAGAGCTTGAGATTAGAAATATCATCCTCAAGTGGTGGCTTTGCCTTGATTATCCTTGATTCTATATTAAACAATCTGACCTGGTAGTCCCCACAATTCACAGCAGAAGCAATTCCCCTCACAAGACCCTCATAGGATTTATCAAAGAATTCTTTGATAGTGACATCATGGACATCCAGGGTAAAGCTGTTCCCTTGCAAAATGGCTTTTGGAATTCCTAGGAATTCCTAGGAATTTTTTCCTAGGAATTCCTAGGAATAAAGGTGTGAATTTTCACGGTAAATTCAGACTGGGAATTCCTAGTTATTCCCAACCATAACAACTCTGGTTCTAAAAACCTAGAAATTCCTAGAAATTCCCAGAAATTCCCAAAAATTCCCAGAAATTCCCAAAAATTCCCAAAAATTCCCAAAAATTCCCAGAAATTCCAAGTTTATAGCCAACAGGACTTGGAATTCCAACTCAGAGAACCAATGACTTTCCCTGAAAAGCTGTAAATCTAAAAAATTCCTAGGAATTTCTGGGAATTTTTGGGAATTTTTAGGAATGTTTAAGAATTACTGGGAATTTTAAGCAAAAATTTGAGGCTAATGATATAAAATAAATACTTTAAATTTAAAAAAACCCAGCTAAAATTCAAGTATTCAATGAAATTTATTTAGAAGCTTAATTAAGGCTTACATGTAAAATATTTTTGACTAATTATTAACATCAATGTGTGGTAATATTAGGATGGAATTTGATTTATTTTTCTTTTCTTGAAAAATTCATACGGATTAATCCTCAATTACAGCTATTCATATAAAATAGTCCTAATCAATCATTAAATTTGGTTTGACACAAATTGTGAATAAAATCTGTTGATTCTTTTCCATAAAATACAATATCTTAAATTACATTTGAAAACCAAGCACTCTTGGGAGTGAAGGGGTTAATTATAGACAAATAAAATTGATTTTTTTATTAAAATCTTGTTGTAAATGTAACAATAAATTAGATTGAAGTTATCCTAAACTGCAAACTTAGCTGCTGTTTGTATTTTTTTTCCTGGGCTCACAATGAGTTGGCCTTGAATGAGGTTGTCTACAAGAAGCCTGACCATTTTGTATCTGGATTCCATGACATCTGAATTTGAAAAAAAATATATTTAAATATTTATATTTAAAGCTCAGACCAGGCCTTTAAGATGGCTATGAGGAAAAGGCCATTAATTGGATTCTCAATTGAGAAATCTCTGTTATATTGAGTGACTTTTATATTGGAGTTAGTACATCTCTCTCATAGATTTTACTAAAAAAGGGCTGAATACATTATTTTATTTTTACCAAGGAGGGCTTCTTTACGTAATAAGGTTTGTTTAATAATAGTTCCTATTATGAATCTTGAATGTTCCCAAACGTGACTAGAGGAATCTTGAAACCTTACTGATAGGTTTATTTCATTGTAAAGCATAAGCTTAAGAAACTGCGGCATGCAAGTGACCGATTCGATTCTCAGAATTATTCTCAGAATTATTCAGTTGCGCCGAGCGTTATGTAAGCTTAATTCAACCCACTACATCTATTATTTTATAAGATTTTGATCACGTAACGAATATCGCAATTTTTACTCATCACAAACTTTCAAAATCGTAGCTTTACAGATGGCCACTCGACCCTTGTTTGTACCAGTCAATATGTCAACTGTTGTCCCTTCTTTTAACTCCACGACGCCAACGACTTTCTTTTCTTTTACAACACTCACACTGTTCTCGTTTTCCCATTGAACCACAATAAAAGCTATCTTTAGAAATGTTATATTAAGCAAAACAGTTGAGAAAAACGATCAACGATCAACCGATGAAAAGTACATTCAAAGACGAGCGCCAAATGGAGTCTTCTTTGTTTCCGATCACGGGCATGATCACGTGGATCTTTTAGGACTTGTCATTGGCTAGCAAAGTGAATCCGCTGGCTTGCCGATTGCAGTGTTAAGAGAAGCGCACAACTTTATTCTGACTGCTCCGACTAGTTCTATGCTTCTAGACGATGGATACCTTAGTGATATAAATAATGATGTGAGCTCCCTCTAGGTAGAAATAATCGACAAGAATCGATCGTATTACAAATGCACGATTTGTGGCCGAAAGTTGTCGAGAAAACAAAGACTCGAAACTCTCTTGAGTTGTGTTCATGGCAAAGGTGAGAAATAAGACAAGCCAATCACAGTTTTGAATGCGACTACAAATCGTCTTTTACCCTCATATTTATAAAAGAAGGATACCACATTAGGAAGTATAAGAGATACATAGATGATTCCAGTGTACCAGTACCTAAATCTACAAAGCTTGACCGTAGCAAGCGTTCAGCAACACGTTCCAACACCGCCATCTCGATTCCTCAGTCAGTCGTTTCCACTGAACTTAAAGCAGTAGTGACAACAGAGTAGAGTGCGTCTTACAAAGGAGAAACATTTTTACAAGAGACAGAAGTAGCTATATGCGATTACAGAGGTGCGTTGGAACTCTGGACCACAAATAGTTATGCACTGTCTCAAGTATAAAACAATTTTGTTGATAGCTGACAGACAGAGAAGAACAACAAGTAAACTTTAGAGCTGTTATTATTGAAGTGTGACTTGCACTTTTCATTTTTATATAAAGAAGGACTTGTATTTTGCACCAAAAAATAAAAAGATGTGATATTTTTTGGGAGATCCAGTGATTATGACATTTGAGAAATTAAGTTATGGAAGGAAACTTGGTTGGTACTTCTCACTACTAACAAGTCTTGTTGACAAATATTTTCAGATCAGAGTTTCAAATAAAGTAAATTGAAGACATCATTTAAAAGGTGTTTTTTCTTAAAGGGAACATCGACTACCTCTGTCTTGTCTGCATGCCAAATGTTTGCAAAGTGTGTGGATGATCCACAAGCATTGGAACTCTTACAAAAATGTTTTGTAAGAATAAAAACAGCAAAACAAATTACAGCAATTAGTCAAGAAAATAGAGCAAAAAACTGAAAAAAAAAAAAACAGTAACAACAATCATGAAAAAAGAAAGATTAATTAGGTGTTGAATTTGTTTGTCTAAGGCATGAAATTTCTACTAAAAATATTGTCAACAAAAAGTCTCTGACTGTGTTTGAGGCAACTGAGCTTGACTGTTCCAAGGTTTTCTAACAAAGGCAACCAGTAATGTAGGTTTGGGAAGTAAGATAACAATGTAATTATTGTTAAACATATACATGTATGTATATCTCTTGGTAAGTTTTGTATAACATACCTTTTATTGAGCTAAAGTTTTAAGCCTCTGAAATTACCCCTTTTCTTAAAACCTTCACATTCAAGGTATTGAGAATTTCTTAGAATTTATGGGGACCTCAGGGTATTAAAATTGCCTCAAATTCAATTCCCAGAAATTCCTAAGAGTTCCACACTTCTTAAATTATAGATAGTTTGTAAAGCTGAGAATTCCTAGGAATTCTTCGGGATTCCAAGTCCTCACAAAACTGGAGTCTTCCTTTCCCAGAAATTCCCAGGAATTCCAAGCTTTTTAAATCGCATAATTAGTTAATTCGCATAATTGGGAATTTTTGAGAATCCCCAGAAAACTGGGAATTCAGTTTGCAAGGGTCATTTGCATAATTGGGAATTTTTGAGAATTTCTAGGAATTCCCAGAAAACTGGGAATTCAGTTCGCAAGGGTTGTTGAGCATTTGAGGTGTCACCAATGTTGCAAAAATTTTACCATTGGCGGGAAGGCTATTCCTTCCATCAGAAACTTTAACCTTAAGTTGGACTGGCCTTACTAACATGTTGACTAAGACTTTGGGATTGACCTCAAGATAACCTGTCGTTCTGTTCAAAGACATGTCCCAATCTCCTTGTGATATTTGGCTGATTTCATATGTAAGACAGTCAGAAACATCAGGGTCATATGCAGGTATTTTAAACTTTGGTGGCGTAGTAGAGCTTTCATCTCGAACATTAATGACAACAAAGAAATCCTGAAGTACAGGCGAGTTATCATTTACATCTTTCAGTGTCACATTGACAATTGTTTCAACAAAGAATGGCGATGATGTTGCCCGCACCTTTAGAATATACTCAGGTTTTGTTTCATAATCTAACAATCTCTTGGTCATAATCACACCATTTCTCTGAATGACAAATGTTAATGGATCATTGCCAGACACAATGCTGTAAAAAATCTCACCACCTTGAACAAGGTCTTGGGACACTGCTTTAACGGTGACCACATTGGAACGCATTCTCACATCTTCAGCAAGGAACACTACGTACGGATCCTTTTCAAATTTCGGTTTACTGTCACGAACATCTTCCAGTGTTATCTTGACTTTCACAGTTGATTTCATTGATGGTCTGCCTTTGTCAGCAGCAACCACAGTCAGTTCATATTCGGGAATTGTTTCACGATCAAGTGACAGCAAAGTTCTGATGACTCCCTGATTGCTGTCAATTTGAAAAGCACCACCTCCATCACCTAAATGAGTATTGAAAAAAACAACAACAACAACCAAAAATATTAATAGGAACACGATCATAAATGGCTTAATCAATACCTGTACTTGAAACCTATAAACCCTTTAACCCCTAAGAGTGACTAATTTCTCCTTAAAATATCCCCCAGAATCACACAGTAAGGTCACAAGAATAAAGGAAATGATCATAAACAAGAGAAGCTCTCGATGGTTTATCAAATTCTCCTCATCAGCACCTAAGGAAATGTATAAACAACAGTATGGAGAATATGCATACTGATGTTAGGCTGTAGAGGGCCAACAACATTGTGCTTTTATTATTATGTAAAAACAAACACATTCAATGTTGCCATGGGTCTGTTCAGATCACAGCAGATGTCAAAATGTAAATAGAACAAAAAAATAGTTGAACACAAGAAGCAGCCAAGGGTGTCACTGATTAGATTTTTCTTCACCCACTCTTGCTAAAACATGTTAACAAATTTTAGGCATGCACCAGTGTTAGACAGTGTAGCTTAACATGAATTTTAAGTAAAAAAGATTTGGAATGTTGTAAAAAAAAAAGCAACAGTTTTTACATCTTTAACCCTTTGATCCCTAAGAATGATAAACATCTAATTACTCCCAACAGTTTTACCTCTGGATCAAACATTGAGGTCATGAGAAAAAAGGAAATGATCATAAACCCAAGAAACTCTTGATTGTTCTACAAATTCTCCTTGTTGGTAACATTGAAAATGTATAGAGAACAGAATGGAGAATTTGTATACTGATGTTAAGCAGCAGAGGGTTTGTACCATTGAAAATGTATAGAGAACAGTATGGAGAACTTGTATACTGATGTTAAGCAGCAAAGGGTTAGGGATTACTAAGCTATAAATGTCTACAAAACAACAGGGAAATACAAATGAAAACCTGAAATTGAAATATGTTATTGGACAGATTCTGTCTATAAGCACTACATGCAAGCATTTGGGGGTTAAGAGAGGTAAGTTTCTAAAGAAACTATGGTGCTGCATTGGTGGAGGATTCTAACAGGGTAATTCATTATTATCAACTGAGTTGATAACGTAATCAACTGAGTTGATTACGTACAGATTGGCCACCTTAAAGAATTACAAAGCTAATGTTTCAAGCCTTGGCCCTTTCTCAGAGCCATGACAATGGGCTAACACTCGAAACATCAGCTTTATACTCTTTATGGTGGCCAATTTATGTTACCAGCTCAGTTGATAATACTAAATTACCCTATTTGAGGGTTAATTATGCATGTAACTCATGATGAAATATCAAACAGTAAATTAGATATATTTACCATTTTTTGCAAATGAGTAGATAATGGCTTTATTTGAACCCTCATCATCATCAACTGCAGAGACTTCCAAAACTCGTGTTCCAGGCCGTACACTTTCCAGAATGGATTTTTCATAGTTGGACTGTAAAAATCTTGGTTTGTTGTCATTTACATCTGTTACTGTAATATGTACATTAGCAGTTCCTTTAAATGGTGGATTACCATGATCAGTTGCACTCACTTCAAACCTGTACTGTGAAGTTGTTTCACGATCTAAAAGGCTCAACACAGTAATCTCGCCAGTTTTAGAATTGATTTTAAAGTTTTGCAGAGATTGTTCAATTGCATAGGTCAGTTTAGCATTCAATCCTTGGTCACCATCAGTTGCCTTGACAATAAGAACCCTTCCACCAACTGCGGTAGCCTCACTGATCCTTTGTCTATAAATACGTTGTTGGAAAATGGGCTTGTGAGTGTTAGAATCAGTTACATTAATGCGCACGCCTGCAGAGCTTTCCAATTGACTGTCTCTAGCTTTTACTGTTAACGAGTAGAATCTAGTCTTGCTAAAGTCCAGTCTACATGATAATGTTATAACACCATTACCAGAAATTCGAAAGCATCGTCTTTGACTAGGGATAGACATCTGGAGACTGTAAAAGATGGTAGTCTGCCCAAGGTCAGGGTCGGTAGCTGTCACCTGAACAATGGTTGTTCCAAATTTAGCATTCTCCTCCACTGATCCAAAATAAATGGATTTTGAAAATCTTGGAGGATTGTCATTTATGTCTCCCACATTGACAGTCACTTTAGTTTGGCTGCTCATAGGGGGCCTGCCCTTATCTTCAGCCTTGACGTGAAATACATATTGATTCACTGTCTCTCTGTCTAATTTTCTGGTAAGGTACAAGTCCCCAGTTTGGCTGTTAATACCAAATGGTAAATTGGACTCCACTAAACTGTAAATGATCTGTTGGTTTGTACCATCATCTGCGTCAAATGCAGTAACACGAGTAAAGGTGTGTCCTACACTCTCACGTTCCGAGACCATTTCTTGAAAATCAGAATTCACAAACTGAGGTGCATTGTCATTGACATCAATAAGGTATATCTCCACTGAGGTTTCGTTGTAATTTGGCGATTCACCTTTGTCTTGAGCCATCACAAAAAGTGTATGCACTGGAATGTACTCATAATCAAGTTTCTTGTTTACTTTGATCTGACCATTAAGATGATTGATAGAAAAAAGTTCCTGGTCATTACCACTGCTAAAACTGTAGGTGACTTCACCATTGGTGCCAAGGTCCTCATCTGATGCACTTACAGTCAAAACTAGCTCCCCTGTTTTGATGTTTTCAGGAATCTTTTTGGAGTATTCTCTCTTTAAAAACTGAGGAACACAGTCATTGACATCAGTAACAGTAATTCGCACAGTGGCCTGGTCTGTTTTAGGAGGGGATGCACTATCACTTGCCTGGACAGTAAGGGAGTATTGCTGTACAGTTTCTCGATCCAGATGTTTGTCTACAGTTATTGAACCACTACTTTGACCAATTGCAAATGCACTGTTAACACCACTATTATTAATGATGTTGTAACGGATATCTGCATTGGAACCTGTATCTAAATCGCGTGCCCGCACATCAAGGACCGTCTCTCCGATAAAAATATCCTCTGGTATGACTTTGCTGTAGGAGGATGATTCGAAGTTCGGCGCGTTGTCGTTTACATTATCGACATAGATGGTCAGATCTGCTTCAGCATACAACGATCTTTCTTGTTCGTATTCGGCTTTGATACGAAAATAGTGCGTCGGCATCTTTTCACGATCTAAAGAAGCTGAAGTTTTTATTAATCCCGTGTTAGGATCGATCCCAAAGAACGACTGACTGAGTAAATTCTGGGACGCTTCCATCGAGTATTTAATTTTCCCAGCGTACCCATTGTTCGTATCTTGTGCTTGAATCGTAATAACGCTTGTTCCTACGGGACCATTTTCTCTAACCTTAGCTATTAACTGAGAGCTGGAGAAACGGGGAGCTGTTTTCTGTGGTCGACGACGAAATCGGCGTACCTTCTTGGCAAAATTGTTTGCGTTTTTATCGATAAACAACTCAAGTCGTGTGTTCGTCGGGGTTCGATGCTTCAAGCGTGTAATTCGTCCATCCCGGTCTACTTAAATTAGCTAAAATACTATACGGCTCTAACGATGAATAAATATTAATAACGGTGCCGTCCACTTGATGAAAAAGCCACAGGCACAAGTGTAAAAGAAAACCCAATGATAAGCGGTCGAAAAAGCCATTTGGCGGTGAGTCTGTTGACACCGTGTTAAAATAAGCGCTTTTCATGAGCGAAGTTGAAAATCACCAGTTCTTCCTTCAGCATACGTAAATGAACAACACTCGCTATTTCACTTTTCCATAAACACGGCCCAAGATTGGATAGAGCGCTCATCTTAGAGCACACCAGCTTTGAAATACCTTTGATCTTTACGGTTAGTTTGCTCGAGTGTCGGCAAGAGGTTTAATTTTGTGTGACTGACAAGTTTCAATTATTTCAGCAGCTAATTGGCTTCCTCGCCCTCACGTGATCACTTTCTGTAGCCGCGCGAGTTATTGAACCCAAGGTTTGCATGACAAATAAAACTATTTGATTTTCCACAAGCATTCTTGTGTGATTTATTTGCAAACAAAAGAAGAACTAGAGGCTCACCGTGTGATCAATACAGCAAGTGCTTTCATTTGAAAAGTTTTCAAAAACATCGTTCAAATTAAGTACTTTCGCAAAATTGACAAGATTTGCGCGGAATTTTACAAATTTTTTAGTGGAATTAAAATTGATTGAAATTGCTTTTGACAATATGTTCTGACTTGTATATTAAGGCTTGGATGCCTGTCACACGAGATATCTTGATGATATTGCTTTGGCGTAAGCTCAGAAGTTAGTCTCGAATTCTTGCAGCTGAACCAAAAAATAAAAAATATATATTATTGCACATGATTACTATTATTATTGCAATAACACAACCAGACCTTTGCCTGGGTCATCCTTCATCCAATTTGTGCTCAATCCCTAGATGAAAGATCGCAAATAATTAGCAAAGCGAAATTGCACTTGTAAACGAAAGCGTAGCGTGCGTGACTCTGACATTTCCTCTCAAATTCTTGACGTGCCAAAAATTTGCAGTGCGGAAAAAACTTTCTAGAATATTTTGTCAGGTATGTTGTCTTTACAAGTGTTTGTAACTTTGCTAATGATCGGTTGACGATAAAGCACAAGAGACAGGATCCAAAAATATGTGATATTGAGGCTGCCTATGATTTTATCTTAGCCGTAGTATATCTTATCATTAAACAACGAAATTATTTTTGTTCTTTCCAAACTTGGATTGATAGAAAGATCGATTAAATTTTAAACGGGGAAATATGTCGTTAGATTTTAAAAATTCAAGGAATAATTAAGTCGCTAATTAACGATTGACAGAAATACGATATGAGGCGAAATTAAATCAAATCTGGATACCAACAGGTATGAATTCGGAAGTAAATATTTAAGGCAGGAAGTTGATGCGACTGGGTTGTCATCTTGAAATAAAAAAAAATGTGTCCTGAAATTTTAAAAGCAAAGTGCACTGCTTCGGCGAGTCATTCCAAGTATAGGCGTTGAGTGCAGATCCGCCTACACTTGCTATGCGATATCTTAAAAATCACAAGAGACTCTCGACATCAAAGCCGTAATCAATTAAAACAGAGCTTACGCTGATTTAAATTTAACGCAATTACTCAAGAGCCTTAAGCGCAATGCAACTTATAAAGCATAATTTGGTCTGGCACCGACGGTCTACGGTCTAGTGAACTGTGTTGACAAGTTCTTACCAAAGGTTTACATAAATTTGAGAGGGTGAAGAGTTTTCAACACAAAGAGATTTGTGTATAGTCACCCATAAAAATGTGAACCCCATCTATCAGGGCTAGGCTTCTGTGATCAAACAAACAACAGAAGCACACAGCGCCGAAGATCCATTCTTCAAATTGCCTAACTGTTTAAAGAAAGATGGTTTTCGTCTTGCCACGGGCGTGGGACAATGAAAAAATGAGTTACGGGTAGATAAACTCAGTGCGGTTATCACAAAAGTTTTGGATAATTCTTTATGAAAGTTTCAATTTACTATGCTTTTTTCTCTTTAGTTAAATGCAAGATGTTCAAACGCGATTCTCTGAAAAAAAATATTCTTAAAGAGAGCGATACATATCATAGCGCGAATAATTTTCACGCTGATACAGTTTGAATGAAAACGGTAATTTTCCATCTGTGATTTTCTGATAGCACAGCCAAGAATTCAAGCTAAGAGTTCAGGAGCAGCAATGCTCATTTTTCATGTTTTCAAGCGAAAAGGATAAAATAAAGCTTCAAAAAAATTTACCGGCCCTATAATAAACTGCTTTGTTCCAAGACTGCTTTTTTAACAGTCTTCTTTGAAAAAACTTTCCGCTGACTTCGGTCGCGCATGCCTCGGAGCAATAGTTCTTCAGTAAAATGAAGTGCGGTCGGTTATTTCATTTCCGGTCTGTGACGCCGGATCGAATCAATAATCTCACATTTATTGTTTTCGGATATTATGATTGAAAGATCGGTTACACGCTTGACGCGAATTTTTCGAAGAGATTCCTTTTAGTACGTAGACAAAATAGATATGACGGCAATACTAAACCGCAAGAATTTAATGTGTTCCATGATTGATATTTCAAACTAATTTGGAGTCTGTTTATCATCCTCCCCCTTCTCCCAGGGTCTTTCGAAGAAAAATGGCTCCCAAACAATGCACTCTGTCTCCGTCACTCCTATCTACCAACCTTGTGAACAAGGCGTTAATTTATTTTGTTTTCTTTGCTTTTCCGGTTTTTTTGTTTTGTTTCGTTTTTTTTTTTTTTTTTTTTTTTTTTGGGGGGGGGGGGGGGAGGGGAGGGAGTGGAGCGAAGGGGAAAAGGGAGGTCGATCTCATTCGACTTCCGTTATTTTTTCCCCAAAGTTATCTTTTACATTATTCCATATGTTCGAGCCTTTCTACTAATCCAGTATTTCTTCAACTGAGTGTTTTTCTTCCTTCCCAAGATGCTCCGTAAACCATGAAAAAAATCTACATGCGTCACTTGGTGGGCGTTTAGATTACATTTATTTCCAAGAGATGTTGTTTTTCTTCTCTCTTCATAATTATTATTCCTTTTAAAAATTGTTCTCAGGGGAAGTGGGATTGGTTAGCCTTTCACTCCCAGTGGTGATCACTATGAATCTTCTTCCTATGATATCCATACATTATTCAGCAGACAGGTGATGAGAATATTCAAACTTATTATGTACAGGTTAACTTGAAAGTTAAAGGTTTAACCTCCCCCCAGCCCACCCCTGTTTGCCTATTATCTTTCCTGAGAGTAAGCCAGCCAACATATAACATCCGCACGCTCACGCGATTCCCTTCTTAAAAAAAAATAGAAAAGAAGGAAGCATTTTTGTCTTAAAAGACAGTACATCATAAGAAAATAGAAACAAAGAAAAA